TTATATACTCAAATGCGATTTTTGTAGTGTACACCACTACTTTGCTCACTCATACACCACAACTATTCGTAATACCTATTTCTAGATGATGATATATTAAAGCGAATTCAAACTCTATAGCAATGGTCTTTTTTTTTGACGCAAATATGAATGTTTTAGGGATGCTTATAAAGTTAACAGACGAGGAAAAAATTATTCCGTGCAATTACAAATGGAAAAATTACGGAAATGTTTATTCTGCAATATTAGATTCTGACAAAAGAGCTTATAAAGAATTTGTAAAAAAAGTTGGTAGTCTTTCATATAATAAAATGCAATACTTCAATATTTGTAGGTGTTTCAATAAGTTCTGTTCTAGGAACGACAAAAAGTATATACGATGTCATTCCCTAGATTATCTTTCTTTGAACTTTTGTACAAAGTAGATATTTCAGACTTTAACCTAGTAAGAATTTCTTTACATTTCAATATAATAAGCTTTTAAATAATTATATCCTTAAAACATTTACTTAGTATTCGGAAATGACCTTATCGGAAGTAAGGCTATTATCCAGTTTATTTATTGATGATGCTACTACTGTGCATCTTCGCAATAGTCAGTAAGTTTGATGGACCAACTTGATTTGGTGATTTACATTACCCTCTCCCTCCGCTTCCGCCTCCTCTCACCCTTTTAGTAAAAAAAAAATTAGGGAAAAATATCGTAATTTTCAGCAAATAGTACCCCGGGTCTTTTACATTCCTAGGCTTAAAAATTGATTTGCCCCTCTGGGACCGGTAAATTTGACGAAATTGTGGCAGGTACTTTAACAGGGGTACCATTTGTCGAAATTACGGTATATATAGGGATTGATACGAATTATTAGAATTTTTACATTTATACGTAGTAAATCAAAATACAAATCACTAACCACAATAGTTACATAAATTATGCTAATACAACCCATCTTTGACAACTTACTGATGTAGCAATAGTCGGTGAGTTTTGTAATAGTTTTTTTTTTTTTTTTTACTTAAGTACGTACAATACAAGCCAACTTATCCTTAATTATTTACTGTGCGTTACTACAATAGTCGGTAAGTTTTTTTTTTTTACATTTACAGCAATTCACAATAATCACGTACTTACAATCAGTGTTTAAAATTCAAATTTATAATTATGTTCTCAGAAGAGCTTAAATTAAATTATTAGTGTTCTCAAAAAATTTTTAATGTTCTCCTAAAGGGTTGAATT